TCTTCATCATCAGTGGTCCAAAAAGTATAATAGATACGGAACGACAGCTGCTTTTTGATTTTTTTTTTCTCTTCTTTTTCTCCATGCAAGTAGACCAGTGCATCTGCTTCGAAAAAATATTTATCTCCTTCGGGCCGACGCCGTACAGCTTTTCTTTTAGAATCGAATCATTGGAGAGATGTAATTTCAGAGATGCTCTGCCCACCCACAAAATATTTACAGCTGCAAAAAATAACATATCTTTATCTAACTGTATTTTTCCAATTTCCGGAGAAGAAATATTGATTTTTTTTTATAACAGATCGATAATAATTTGTATTTCTTATGATCTCAATAAGAAAATAAAAATGTAACAAATTTTTATGTTTTCGTTTAATGAATTACAACATAACAAAAAAAATAACTGCAACTTGTAACCTTCCAATGTTCATTAACACACACACAGAATAGCTATGTGTTACATAATTATAGAAAAAAAATAATATATCCTTGGCAACGTTTATTGGTGTCTGCAGATTACGTCCAATGAAATTGACTGAGTTAAGAAATTATATAATAACCATTCAACAGCTGGGCGGAACGTTGGATATTAGGAACGCATAAAATACTTGTCGCTTCTATTGTTGTTGTTGTTGTTGTTGTTGTTGTAGTCGTCTTCAGAATGAAGGAAACTGAATGAAATCGCTGTTGGTTTTTATGAAACTGTCCTTGACGGAGGTTTCGTACTTTATGGCCGTGCAGTGATTGAGCTTTTCGTGTATATATCGGCCAGGTGTCTGATAGTGCTAGAGGTATATTACTTAACCGTAAATTATGCACTTGTCTAATGCTTCGTATTGGAGCAGGTGTTCACGGGTTTTTGGTATAGGTAAAATCAAGTGTATCATTTGGGGGAGTGCTTTTCGGCAAAGAGTTATACGAGATGCGTCGTAAATTAGTACGTTCAGTCAGTTTGTATACGTATAAGAATTTCTGTAAGACGAGGCGTGAGGGTAACAAAAAATTGGAACGAACGTAGCAGTTAAGATAATTCTACATAAAGTTACATAGAAGCAATTAGTTTAACAATAGATTCTTTGGTTGGTCGCTCCGCTGGCGAGATACACTTATTGGAAACGGGTATTCAAATAAATTGCCATTTGTATGGACGGATAATATTTCGCTCACGATGCGCGTCTCTAAACTTGACTCTTACCCTAATAGGTGCCAACTTAATGACTACTTATGAATGCACAGACGTCGCTATTATTGTCTCCCTTCGTTCACCTCTTTCCGAGCTCTAATAACTGGCCTATCATCATTATTATTCAACATCTTTTCAGGGCTTCAGTTCACGCTAATAATAGGATTCTTCAGGCAATTAACTAAACAATCATACCTGATTAGGTATTGAAATATAACGCACCTATTTGTCATTAAGAAATGAGTGGATAGAAATAGAAAGAGCGAAGGATTGTTGCGAAGCAAAGTGACTCAAAACACCATAAAAATTGATAACTGCGCGCGCGGCTCCGTACGTATTCGGACTAAACAAAGCAAGGATAATTGGCGTGATGACTGAATCATTATTTCTAAATCTCGAAGAGCAATTAAGTCATTACGATGTTAGGAAACGCGAAATGTTTCGAACAGAACTGTTTCACGAAATCATAACTCATATCGGATCGATTTGTATATGTTGCATAAGTTATTTGCACAACGATACAAAACAAATTGCACAACGATACCAAAAAATGAATGTATTCAAAACCATATATTTACATGATTTGCAACAAATTAAAGTTAAGAGTTACAACAGATTTGTAAACAAAAAAATGTTCGTCGTTTGTGCCTAAACAATGATATTTGTTTAAGAAATAATACAGAACAAATCATCAACACAAAGTGATTGATTATTTACGTGTAAAGTAAGGACAGGTAGTTTAAAATTTGCGTTTCTGTATACTTTTTGCACGAGTAAATATAAACAAATTATTTTTTTCAGAACTGTTTAAATCATTACAATTTATTACATCCATTAATTAATAAATACAAAAATTGGTTAAAGTTTTTCTATTTTCATTGGCAGTGTTAGACAGTACTTAATCTTAAGAAGATTAGGGACTGACCATAAATTCTAAAAGCACATTAAATTTATGTGTACACTCATAAATCCGGACTTTAGATTCGTGTTAACACTGAAAATGATATAGCTTCATTTCACGTGATTTAACTCCAGTTAAATGTAAGCGAAAACCTTCGATAACAATAATTTCATAAAAGCGTTGACCGATAAAAGTGAAATCGGGAAAATATTTAGGGACTCGTTCATATCTAAATCCGGCAACGTACAAATGAAATGCTATTTCCTTCTAGCAAAATTCTTTACAATTTTTCCTTTTCTCTTTTATGATGGGTGTAAAGTTCGGGACTTCCTTTTTAAACTTTTTCACCCTTCAAAGATTTGCAAATGTTGTAAAATCGATATTGACAAAATGTTCAGTAAATATTTAAAACTGGTAATAATAAATATATTTCTCGGCGTTCTTTGGAAACTAGACAGGCTCGTTTGTGTATTTCCATATAAATAATAAATGTTTCGTGGAAAATCTGTGCATTATTTTCCTGAAATATTATGAAATACATCGAAATATTGTTGATATATGATAAATTCTGGTAATTTCACAACGTTACTTCATGTTAGTTCGATAGAAACGTGTATTCGAGAGGCCATGTTAATGACATTAAATGTAACAGGAACCGAAGCATGAAACTACCAAAAACTGGATTTCCGCACGACTTGTGCATGTAAACCGTGCGTTGATATAAATGTAAATAATTAAGGAAATAAAAAATATTTTAAAAACGTATAATAAAAACAAGAGCAAGGTTCAAAAAAAAATATTTAAATATATATTTTGTACATTAAAAACCTTTGTGATCTATTAATAATTAATTGATAGTTAATCAATGGTTAATAATATAGTTGATTCATAGAATTTAGTTGATAAAATTTCCTATAATAACTTAAAACTACTTGAAATTCTCTAAACATAAACTTACACGTTTAAATCTAATTTTCTCTGTAAAGAAAATAGGTGATAAAGTGAAGCAACTTGTAATTATGTGTTATTTTCTATTCAAGTAAAACAAATTTAAACAATTTGGTAGCAAATAACAGAATTTATTTGTAACGATTACAAAATCTTAAGATTTCCTTCCTGAAAAAATACTTATAAAATAAGTTTTTTTTTAATTTGAAGGATTGTTATATAAATAAAAGTATGGACAATTTAACCTTGAATTCATATTTTTAAAATTTATTTTGCAAAAAGTTATTAATAAAATTTTTACTATTACACAAAAAGACATAAAATTTCTAATGATCATGATGACTCCATGTCGATTGATCTTGATTAATTGATGTATTAATTACATCGGAATTCCTGAAGGCTTGAATCATATTTATTCAATGAAAATGCACAAATTATTATTAATAAATTTACATTCGATTTGTTTAAAAGCGTAGAATTAAAACTAATATTTGGGTTTATAAAATAAGAAATGAGGCCATGAAATAATGATCTGCAATAGGACCTTCAATTATATATATATGTGTGTATATATTTGCGTCACTTTTGAATTATTTATATTTAATTGAACAATATTTATTGACCAAATTATATGAAATCAAGTATGCGCCAAAAAGTAATCAATTCAAATTATTACGTATGTATATCGAAACAAAGTAATTGCAAAGTAATTAAGAAAACATATTTAATTAGTATAATTAAAATTGATGTTGCGACAATAATTTTGAATATTTATAGAAACTATATTGAAGTTTGCAACAAAGTATTACAGTGTGTTGTTGATAAGTTGATGTGTTCATTACGTAGGAATTCGTTAAGATTTGAAAATGCGAAGGTGAAATCGAGTCAGGTTGGTGCGTTTCTGGTGATGAGCATATATAGAGTGGTGAAGAAGGCGATTGTAGTGTGTGCGTATGGTCAATAGGAATGGTCAGTGATGTCGTGGAATGGTTGAGTCATCAGAAAAATAGAAATATTTGGAAGTGAAGAGAAGAGGTCGGAGGATGATGATGATGCGATGAATCCACCCTCGAGGAATGCGCACGCCTCTGGCCGTCCCCACCCTTGCCGACATTGAATCTGGGAAACCGCGGCGGCGTCCGTTCCGATATCAGTCAGTAGCGCAATGGCAGTGTGATCGTGCACATTCGAGAGGTGGTTTAGCAGTGTTACTCGTCTCTTACGAATACAACACAACACAACACATTCGCAAAGTTATTATTACTTCGCCCATGTCACTACAGACACTAAAAAACACTTAGTACGGCAGTCGGCAGCTATTTAAATAGGATCTCGAATCTACTACTCGTTCTTTGAGTGCGTGCACAATAGCAACGAAAGAAGAATACACATTCGCAGCATACGCATCTTACTCTGTGTGTTCTTTTTTTTCCCGTCTTCTTTTTGCGCTTCCTTCACCTTGCTGGGCGGAGGAGAGTGTGCGTGTGCGAGAGCGAAAAAAAGCGGCGGTAATTCGTTGTTTTCAACAAGAAGCAAAAAAAATAATAAATAAGAAAAGACGCGAGTCGAAAAGAAGAAAGAAAAACCGAACAACCAAGCAGTTGCTGCTGCTATATATATATACATATACCAGGAGAAAGAGGGATCAAGCAAAGTGCGATCAAAATGCAAAATTCTATAGTGAGTGTGAATTTAAATGGTATGGAGAAGAAGGTCGAGGTGGCGTCGTGCAGTGACATTGTTAAAAAATTCCGGTCAAGTATTTCACATCCGCGGGATATGGAATGCAGGGTGCCTAGGGTTCCATCGGACAACAAAGAGCAGAATCAGTTCAGTCACAATCAGAACGACAGCTTCCAGGCTTCAATAGTGGCCGACAAATATCTGCTATTGGAGCAAGTCGAAGGAAGCTCATTGTTCCGATGCATTGACGTCAATACCCAAGAAGAATTGGTTTGCAAGGTAATTATCATTGTGCATATCCGTTCGCCGCATGCGAACTCCACACTCTACTCGCGATCCGTTCCGTGTGTCGTACGTAGTCTAGTTGTATTTGGGGGAGTGAGGGAGTACCGTTAAAGGAATTCCTATTAATGGGAATTAATGTCATTTGGAGCACGTGGAATTGCGTATTCGAAACCGCAGAAGGTCAGCAGGTATTGAATTTGCCAATTGAATGTGTGTGTGTGTGTTTGTATATACACACATATATATATATAATACGAGGATCAGTTTAAAAAGAGAAGCGGCACAAGTTGTCATCCATTATCGAGCGTAATTGGAGAACGTGCGCTCGCTAAAAATAGTGACTTAAGTCAAGGACTCGGACGCGCGCGCTCTTCATTATTATTGCTTCTTCTTCTATTTGTTTTTTTATTATATATTGTTTTGTAAGGTCCGACGCGCGTTAGGTAACACAATTAAAGTTAGTTGTAGTAGTAGTAGTAGTAGTCTGATGGGATTAGAGACAGCGAGAAGAGAAGTAGGAGGAGGTGAAGAAAGAAGAAATAATCAAGGTTGTTTACGCTTGCCCTTGTCATTTCGGCTCGGTAAAATATGGTGATTCTAATACACCTATGTAGCTAGCTAGCAGCTATGTGACCTTGTTATCTCTCTCCGTCTGTGATGTAACCATCGCATCCGGTGGCGGAGGACGAAACACGCACAGTATGAAATCGCTACGCGTAAATTTCGACCGGTGCCTGTTCATTAACAATTATTTGGATTTGGAGTGGACGAAGTTGCAGTAACCAATAAGATTCGGTCACGAGAGCGAGAGATGGATGAATTAGTAACATAATGAGAGAATGAGAAAGAGAGCGCGCGCCCGTTTTTCGCAATTTGTTTTATAATGTTTGTATAATATTACTTGTAATTTATACTGGCATATAACCTGTCGAAACATTGAAATAATATATAGGATTGGCCGGTTATTACATTTCAAATTCGCAATAACTAGCTCCTTATATGCGCAATCGGTGCGCGTTGCTCAAAAAAAAATATGAAATTAGTGCGGTGCGCACTTTCTTCGTTCAACTAAAGAAAACCCTTTTGTTATGATAATCCAGTTGCGTGTATAATCGAGGGGGATAAGTGGTCGGCATTCCTAAAATACTCGCCTTACGTGTTTCCATTACTCATCTGCTTAAATATATTAGTATTCTATGAATGCATCTCTGTTCTATCGAAGGATATATAATATGTAATAAACAATGGACTTCGTCCGCTTCACAGTCTTCTTCTCACCAACAACAACACGCACGGAATCTACAGAAGAAGAAAAAAAAAAGAAAATATTCTACTAATAGTTGAATGCACCCATTGTTCGTGTAATTTACCAATTTCGGAAAGGAACAAGTGGAAACCTTGTTCTTTGCTCATTCACGTCCGCCGAGCTATTTTCTAATTTGCTCTGGGAACACGATCGAAAACTTCCTATTCGGAAAGAAAAATTCGGGCTGGGAAAAAAGGGGGAGCGTGTGGCACACACGCACAGCAGGTAGCTCGTGAACGGAACCACTTGCTCAGTGGCACTTTGCGAAAAGCAAAAATGATGGAAGGATGAAAAGAAAAAGACTCCCTTTTCGTAGCTCCAGCCACAGCACATGTTCGCAGAAATATAAAAATAATAATGTTTTACTCGAATCTTACACACGTTTTTTATCGTGCTTTTCTTGCGCGTCTTCAAAAAAAAAATAAAACAGCAGATAGTAATGACGATGCAACACATCATGATAATAATAATAAAAAAAGAAGAAACATTAAAATTTACAAGCGTGAAACTTCATTATGTGGTTCACTCACATGTTTCCAGATTGTAATGCTCTTCTTTGCGTGTGTGACGCGCGAATGCAACGGCAATAATAACAGGACCGACGCAAATGTTAATTCCGATTAGAGACGTGGCCTGCTGACGTAAACTGGTGTGAAACAATGTTAAAATTGAAAATGAATAAAAGAAGTTCGAATATTGTAACAGACGATGATGATCTCTCACAATGTGTACTTGCTGTACTGTATTAATTGGAATTTCAGAGCGTGCGCGATAAATCGTGATATGTTTTTCTGCCGTTTTATATGCGTCAAGGTAATGGCATTTTCTTGCCCAGTAAAATAATGTTGATTATTATTATTTATATGTAGATAGAAAATTGATAATATGAATGCTCGTGTTAATAAAGAGCAAAATGTGTGTGTGTGTTTTCCCATCTGTTGTTAAAGGAGATGGCTTATTGATTGTTTGGTATTGTTCTAGGTTGTATCGAGAGATTCGCATTCCCTGGTGACGGCGCATTACCGGCTGGATTCTCATCCAAGGATTTCGTCGCTGCACGAGGTGTTCATCTGCGACAGGCATCTCTACCTTGTCTTTCCTAGGGCGCACGGTGACCTCCATTCCTACGTTAGATCTAGAAAAAGGCTGCGCGAGTCGGAAGCGAAGAAGATCTTCCGCCAGATAGCTGAAACCGTGCATCTGTGTCACAGCAGCGGAATCGTCCTCAGGGATCTCAAATTAAGGAAGTTCGTGTTCGCTGATGCCCAACGGTAAGCAGTAAATAATATAACCAAAACCACCCACCGCAATATGCGGCTGCTGCATGCATATTGCGATCGCGTTGCTCAATCTTTGCTGTCTGCAGTTGTCTACTCTACCTGTTCTGTTCTAATACTGTGTAGCGCACACACAAACACACAGCAGCAGCAGCAGCAGCAGCAACAACACACCGCACCCGTCACATATCGCACCGGCTTCTCGAGAGCAATGCAATGTAGTAATGTAGTATTAATAGATTAAAAGATACGCGATGTGGTAACCTCATCAATTGCCTAATGCCTCGGTAATTCGGGCACCAGATCCGCCACATAATAATACTCAACTATTTACTATATACATCAAAAAACATTTCCAATATTACGTAACGCGAATGGATCTCTATATACATACAAATACGTATTCTTTAAAGCCCCATTCATTGAAGCTCTCCGGGGCCGAAACGATTTATTTATTCCTCTTTTACCTTGGTTCATTCAATTGTTTCGAAGGTTACTATTGTCGGCAAGGGACTACAAAAGTATCCCGAGGTATGAATTGTATAGTGCACGGTGTGCAAGGTTAACATTTACGCATAGGTGAAAAACAAACAGAAATAGGGCAGCCAGCATTCGACAGTGCCAAAAGAAGTAGAGAAAAAAACGTAAACCATTCTTTAGAAACACTTTTTTTTTCTTTTCTTCTTTTAAAAAGTTTGCGACATTTGCCAGGTTGCTAAACGCTTCTATACTCCTTGCGTATCTTTCATTCTTTTCTCGCTGAATGAAAAAAAGAAAAGAAAAAAAAACAAAACAAAAAGGAAGTTTGATTTTTGCGTTTAAAGCTGAGGTCATCCATTATTCACCTGGGTATTAAATTCCAAACCGGATGCGCTGCGCTTCGCTTTCCTGTGTGTGTGTGTATATACTATTTATTTGCGTTAGTTTATTTCACATGCGTTTTGTACACGAAATAATAGCAATGTCAAAATCGTTTTTAATGTACAATATACATAGATATAGATATTTTTTTTGGCGTGATTCAATTGCTGCATTCGAGTGGCTGCTGCTGCTGCTGCTTCTGCATACTGTTTTTGTAATAGCGTTGGAATGAAATACACTTTGCTTTGCGTCAGAAGTTGGTGTCGAAATGATTGTTGCATCAAAATGTTGCAGCCATTATTCAATTTATATGTTTCAACATTGGGAGTTGGAGCGATAAAGCGCTGCAGGCGACGCGAGATAAAAGCTTCATAAACATTCGGTTTTAATTAAGGTTAGGGCTCGAGGAAGTTGCGACAGACACGCGTCGCATTTCTGTTGAAATTCAATGGACTCAGCTCAGCCATTGAGGTGATGAGAAATCGCAAAAAGCTGAAGGAAAGAAAGAAGAAAAAAAGTGTTTGAATGAATAACAACTAGTTCAGGATCGATTGTTGTTGTGTTGTTCTTCTACTACTATGGTACAGATGTGCCAGGTGTCCACCCACAATGGAGCGTTCTCCAAAAAGTTCTAATGAAAGAAACGACCCAAACCGATTCTCTTCCTTTTCGCCCACGCTGAATGGCTTTTGCCATTTTCACCCGCCACGACGACGTCCAAAGAGACTTCTTTTTATTCGGCACACAGCTGCCATAAATCTACTATTTTGTTTATCCTATCAATTTCTTTACAACTGCTCTTCCATTCAGCAACACTGGCAAAAAGGAAACCATCTGCTATTCTAGGAGAAACCCCCACATGTCACCTCGACTTTTAAACTGCACCAACTAAATTAATCTATTACCTGCAGCAACAGATCATCATTACAAAATTTAAAACCCGAACGAGGAGAAACTAATTACCATCGTCACAGCTTTCAAGTCTAGTTCCTTTTTCCTCCCTTCAACTAAACCTTTCTTAATGGTCCATATGTTTCCTGCTTGATAATATAGCGGTAGTGTACATACAAAATATTATCTGAGATGGAATCAGAGGCCGCGCAGAGACGCGCAACATCTGCCCCCTCGAAAAGATTTTATACCTGATCACTTCCTTTTCAAAATCTTTTTATGTGCCTCCGCGTTTATGCAACACACAGCAGAAAGAGAGCCTCTCTTTTATAATTATTTTTTTTCTCTTCCTTTGCGCGCTCGCTCGAGCCCTCTACAATTACGAGGACCTAACATCTGCCACGCGTCAGGGCTCTTCATAAAAGGCACAACAACAACCACCACAAAAAAAACAACCGACCTAATGACCATTTGACTCGAGACACGCGCTCGAAAATTGAAGCGAAACGTACGGAATCCTTTGCGATTTTAAAATACAAATGATTTATCGTTTTATCTCTCGCCGATGTTGTATAGAATGTGTGTGTGAGTGTGTATATGCGTGTTGTAATGCAAAACGTGAAGCAAAAGTTACAATGGAAACAGCCTTGTTACTGCCTTCACCTACTTGCGTGTGAACCAAGTTGCATTTAGTGTATACTTGGCCTTATTTTTAAATCAAATGGACGTATAAAATATATACACGTCGCTGTTTTTTTTTTGTTGTTGTATTTCTTAGAGTTGTTTGGAGGTTAGTAGGTCTAATATAAAATTTATGATGATGATGATTATTAATTATATCGCGGCTAAAAATATCTCGTGTTCGCTCTTTATCGAATTACCGCATATTTATTATTTTACTCCTTTGTTTTGGTCTGTAAGCTGTTTATCAGTCAAATTGCAAGAACAACGGAACGTGATATGGTAGTAAATTTATTTTTGCAGGTGCGTTGCACTCAGCTATTGCGGAAGATAAAGTTGCATTATTATCGAGCGGACTTCATATTAAGCGACGTTACGCAAAGAAATTTATTGTTTATTTGTTTTTCACTGTAGTGAGCGATAGATTAAAAAAAAAACATAATAATGTATGAGCGAATTGTAAAATAACTGGTGCGAGTAGTACGAGCGCATTGAACGCACTATATAATCGCGCCTTCTCTCATTCCGTACTAATAGGTCAAACGCATGCAGACTTCTCTTGCTGATCCGCCTGTATTTCAGTCATTGGGTAATCGGATACGTATGCTAATCAAGGAGATTTGCGAACCTGGATAACTAGAGATTGCATGAATGGAAATGCTTATAGTATTTAGGGGTTGCAAGTGTATATGCGTGTGCGATGTTCGAGAGTGTTTAAATAGCCTTGTGTGTGTGTCTCCTCCTACACATAACACACATATTCATATACATGGGCAGGCGTCAGTCGGCAATGCAACGGCAAGTGCATAGAATCGCGCGATTTCCGCATTTCTCCGGCGAATGCATGGCCCGAGGCCTCAATGCGCGCGCTCAGCCGGTCATTGACTTAAACCTATGACTTAGAATTAGAAATTATGAGACCCGATATGTGAAATGGCGCAACGCGTGCACCTCTCTCATTTAGGTACCTTCTACTTCTTTTTTTCCTTTTTGCACCGTCTACGCCACCAGATGCAATTCTCCTCTTATATAAACCGCGGAAACTGCGGCCGGCCAGCCGACTTCGATCTCGGACAGTCCGCGTCGGCCTCCCTCAATGTTTCCTAGTTTTATGTAATTATTGCGAATTGCTCCAAATGCGCGCGCGCCTGCATAGAATGCAGAAGAAGGCCCAACCCTAGGACTCCAGAAAACTGGAGGAGAAAGATACCAACCACCAAGTCTTGTCCATTCGGTGTGGTATGACTTCATTTAATAGATTATTTGAAAAGAAAGTCGCGCGCGCGCGCGCCAGTTTTGCAACTGCCCGAGAGTGTATGTGTGTGTGTATATAAATAAAAAAGAAATGTGTGAAATGCATAGAAAGCAAGCGGTCATTGGCACCTACGTAATGCAATACCGTTTTTTTTTCGCTTCTTCTCTTTCTTCCATTCTTTAAAATCGAAATACGTCAAACAGTAGTAGTAATAGTAATAGTTTCTACAACCATCGAGATAATACATTGTAACAGCAACACATGCATTTTGTGACGCGATAATCGAGATGTCCGTTTAATCAAAGATTGTGCAAGATCCGGGAGCTTTGAATCCGAAACGGGGTTTAGTGAACTTAGAGGCACAGAACAAACAAAACGGTGGTGGTGGTGGAGGTGGAGAGAAAGCATTGCGGAACGCGAAAAGAAAGCGCGCATTTCTCTTCTGCAGTTGCAAAATTGTAACGAAAATTACATCAAACGTACGTTTCGTGTAACGTACGAAACAAAGTCGCTCGCACACATGGAAAAAGACCCACCTAATTCTAGGTGCGGTTTCGAGTTCAAATAACTCTTTGAAAGTCATCGACTCTCCATGGTTCTTTCGAAGATCCGCGACCGTAATTAATTTGATTAGGAAAGTAATATCACCTTTTGGATTAAGAAAGATTTGATTGGTGTGCAAATATTGTTGTTGCCTCACATATTTACAAAAAAAAAAAAAAGAAAATAGTTATCGAAATATCTGTATGAGTAAATCCCTATATAGGTGTGTGTGTGTTGGGTGTTGAAACGTTTGTTAGCTTGCTTAATGTTAATATTAAGACCGCCGCGATGTGTGGCGTCAACTCGTTGCGTAAGCACGAATTACGGAACCCTTTTTCGAAGCGATTTTCTTATTTCGTTTTTTATTATTTGTTACAGGACGGAGTTAAAATTGGAATCTCTCGAGGATGCTGTCGTGTTAGAGGAGCCGGACAGCGATTGGCTGCACGATAAAAGAGGATGTCCCGCTTACGTCAGCCCGGAAATACTGAAAGCCGGAGCGCATTATTCTGGGAAAGCAGCTGATATGTGGTCACTCGGTGTCATCCTGTACACGATGCTGGTCGGAAGGTAAAAATCCTTTTCTTCTTTTTGTTTCTGTAATTTGTACGCATTTGCTGCTGCTGGCTGCTATACGATACGATACGAACAGGTGGAGGCTGGGTTAAGAGATTTTTATTCCTCGGCCCCAAAAAAGGGTGCTCGTTAATTCAGGCAGGTGAATGCACTCTCTAACGTATCTACCTGCATCCCAACTCTCATCTCTTTTTCTTTTTCTTCTTTTTCTTCACGTTCTCTTATCTTCCTCGAGACAGGTGCAGATTTTTTTTAAGGGTTATCTGCTCTAATATTAATTAGGACAGGTGCTTCTCACCGAGGCACCTCTCGAAAGAGTTTCTTTTACCCGAATTTCTTTTTATTCTCAAGGAAGTGGTCGAGAATATTAATTTGCATACAATTAAATACTTTTTTCGTTCGAGTTCCTGGGGTATCAAGCGTAACGGATTCCCCATATGTCTTACATCCCAACAGGTGAACTCGCAACTGTTTGTTCACTCCCTTCTATCTTTTTGTTTTGTTTTGGGGGGGTTAAGACGTGTATTCTTATCGATCACCATATGCTACTAGTCTCATCAAACACTTCCTTTCTTCAGTTTGCTTCGTTTATTACCTATACATTCTGAACAAACAGAATACTGATGATTATTAAATTAAAAGCAAGCACCTTGATTCGCGCGAGCGGCCCGAACTGCGACGAGTTTATTAATTTGGCGAGGCCTTGAACTTAATCGCGAGAGTTCAACAAAAAAAGAAACGAGAATAGTGACAAAAAGTTTCCTTCTCCCCGCCGCCACTTGTTTAATAACTAAGAAACAAACCAGTACTTGGAAGTCAAGTGGAAGCAGGTGCGCACCCTTTAGGGTGCACGTGCAAGCCACTCATTAAATAATTTCCCCTCTCTTTATCATCATTTTTCGTTAATTCTTATTTGTTTTTTTCTTCTTTTTGCAGATATCCATTTAATGATTCAGAGCACGCATCGCTTTTTGCGAAAATATCTCGCGGTCACTTCGTCATACCCGACTGCCTCTCGTCCAGAGCGAAATGCCTAATTAGGTCGTTGCTGCGAAGGGAGCCGTCCGAGAGAATCACCTCCGAAGATATCTTCTATCACCCGTGGTTGGCGAAAGAGGAACGCGATTACCAATCGAGAGCTTGCGATCAGTTGGTTCCTGAATGCAGTTTTTACGATGACGAGTAATCGGCAGCACACGGAAAAGCAAAACAGAGAGAGAGAGAGAGAAATTAATTTGAAAAACCTTGTGATTTGTTATGTAAATAAGTCTTTGATACTATGTGCAACAAAACAAAAAAGAGCTGTGTTTAATATGTGCCGACTTTGTTGTTATAAACAAGGTTGGCCCGTTTAGTGCGTGAAATTATAATAGCTACTACTACTGATACTACTACAAAAAAAAAAAAAAGAAAAAATAATAACTGGGGACAGAATTCATCGTAGGCCAAATTTTCTTAGGTAATTATAATTGAAACGTCCGAAGGACAATAAGCGACGAACAGTGGCGAATTGTCTCCTTCGCGTTTAGCATCACCAATATTATTTAGTTTTTTAAGGGGGTTAATTTATTATATATATATCTGTTACATAATATTTCCTTGATCGAAATGATTTAAAAAAAAATAGTAATAATAATATTGTATATGTATATATATTTATTTATATATTGTAATAATGAATGAAGTAAGACTGATGCACTTATATTAATTGTTTCGTTGCTTTATTTGCTCGTATTTATGATGGAATTTCCTTTGGAAACAAAAGAATATAATTATAAGTAATATCACGATAGGAATGCAGGCCAAATTTTGTCCACCGACCTTTATTTTTTATTTTTTTTTTTAATTGAACCAAATGATGTATGTATAATTGTAAATATTGATAATTACGTTTATTTTAATTTTTTTTTTGTTACGATGCAATACGTTCTTTTTCCACGGATTTTCCCGTTCGGAAAAATGTTTGTGATCTCGGGTCAGACGTATGTGGCCGCCAAGGAAAAAAATACAAGTGAAACAATTTTTTTTTGTTGGATTATTTATGGATTTTGTACAAATAATAGTAATAATAATAATTAATAATGATGTGTACAGATTAAATTCCTAATTTAGCAATTTTATAAGTATGTACATATTTGCATATAGCTTTGCATTTGTGAATATATCGTTATGGTAAATAATATCGTTGTCCTTATTAAAAAAATATCAAAAAAAAAATAATAACAAATATCTGTCTTTTATTACCCTTCCTTCCTTATAACGCCTAGTATTAAATCATCAATTTATTAGGAAAAAAATGATCGTTCTTCAATATCTTTATATTTAGTAAAAGCGTAGTAAGAAAACGACGTCTGCTATATGCTAATGTTACGACATTGTTAAGTTTAGAAGTTGGCCATGTTCAAAAATAGCATCGGTCGTGGTTGGTGGTGGTGAGAGGGGGAAGGGAGGAGGTGGAGCGGTGGCATTATGTACAGGCAGGGTCATTGGGCCGGAAATTTGAAGGTTCCGGGTTCATTTAACCAGATATTTTCATCATTTAACAGGTCTTCGGACACGCGCCACTTACCGCCGTCGCCGCTCTCACCTTCGCATCTTAATTGCCAGCCGCATCCAATTAATTAGTTATTTTGATAGTGGTGCTTGCACGCGATACGCATCTACTCGCGTCGTCCCATCCATCCATACATCCACCTTATCAATAACACGAATTGTGTAAATTCAGTCATAACATTGATTCAACAAGTTTGTTTCGTGTGCGCGATCGCCGCAATGCAATGTCACCTCAATGTCAATAGCGAAGCTGTTGCGTAACATCTAATAAAATTAATGTTTATCCTCGTGTCTATATTCAATATATAATCAAATAACACCGCACTTTTACTTTTAAATAAGTAGATATGTTCGGCACATTAATAAAGAAACAACTGTAATGCGGATATCGATTTAAATTATACAACACGGGACAGAAGAATGTATTCATTTGACATTTGAAATGTATAGTTTGAACGTTCCTTCCTCTGGATCAAACTGAAATTTGATGATGGCAATTCTAAAACGGCAACCGGACATTTTCGTACTTGCCAGATGTTAGTAGGATGCGTTAACGGAAACGACGACAGCGGGATCCCATTAGGATACTATAACAGGAAACTACATTCTCTCTACAAACTATTTCATTCATACTTATAATGAATCAATTACGTTTATTTCATCTATCATATAAATCCTTACAGAAAGTTGGATGTTAAATATTTGTTGAAATACTTGTTTTCATGAAAATCATTTGAAATGGAAACATTTAGCCTCAATGAGGCATTTCCCGATGTATACATGAAATGACGACACTCGTGCGAAATTTGCATTTTGAATCGCTTAATTCTAACATTTAAATACATAATACAATGTGCATTTCCAATCTATTTTGAATGTAATTTAAATAAAGAATGATGCAGTTAATTAAGAACAAATTGGATTGGATTGGATATTGGATTTTTTTTTCAACGAGAATGATGAAAAACTTATGATAGTTTACGTGTGTGTGGGCCAAACCTAAACGTCACGAACGAAATTATTGGCTTACGCTGTGAAATGTTGGCCGTATGACGAATGCGATGAATAACACCATCCAATTGACTACCAAATATTTTCGACAATTTTTTTTACTTTTTTGTTTACGTGAATAATTCACGAATTATAATTGAATGCTCATCTCTATCTTTAGAAATTAACAATATTCACTAGCAAAGTCTTGAATTTTGTATTTATTCATATGATATTGAAAAACTTCGTTGTTAATGGTCAGCTGGAAGTTAAATCACAAACGATTAATGTTTCATAGAATATTCACACAATATTGAAGAATCTTGTAGTTTCCGTATAATAATTGAACGTTCATATCTATCTTTAAAAATTAACAATATTCACTAAGCAAAGTCAATCCTTTTGGCTTCAATAAAAGAGGTGTGTAGGTACTTGAATTTTGTAATTATTTATATAATATTGAATAATTTCGTTGTTAATAGTCAAATCTCATTTTAGTTAAGCAACGTGACTGAGGTGTAGTAAGTACTTGGATTGATGATGATAGTTTCCTTTCTTTCAACACAGATCTTATAAAAAAGACACAAAGATTCACAAAATATTGAAGAATCTTGTAGTTCCCAAATATTAATTGAATATTCAAATCTATCTTTAGAAATTAACAATATTCACTAAGCAAAGTCAATCCTTTTGGCTTCAATAAAAGAGGTGTATAGGTCTTGAATTTTGTATTTATTAATATAATATTGAAGAATTTTGTTGTTAATGGTCAAATCTCATTTTAGTTAAGCAACGTGACTGAGGTGTAGTAAGTACTTGGATTGATGATGATAGAATCCTTTCATTCAATACAGATCTTATAAAAAGACACAAAGATTCACAAAATATTGAAGAATCTTGTAGTTTCCAAATAATAATTGAATGTTCATCTCTATCTTTAGAAATTAACAATATTCACTAATCAAAGTCAATCCTTTTGGCTTCAATAAAAGAGGTGTATAGGTATTTAAATTTTGTATTTATTCATATAATATTGAAGAATTTCGTTGTTAATGGTCAAATCTCATTTTAGTTAAGCAATATAAGTAACGTGTAGTAAGTACTTGGATTGATGATGATAGATTCCCTTTTTCAACACAGATCTTATAAAAAAGACACAAGTATTCACAAAATATTGAAGAATCTTGTAGGTCCCAAAAAATAACTGAATGTTCATCTCTATCTTAAGAAATTAACAATATTCACTAACAAAGTGAATCCTTTTGGCTTCAAGAAAAGAGGTGTATAAGTAGTTGAATTTTGTATTTATTCATATAATATTGAAGAATTTCGTTGTTAATGGTCAAATCTCATTTTAGTTAAGCAACGTGATTTTGAACGCATATTACAGCAATATGGATAAGAGCACAGGAATGTATCTATACTTGCTGAATTCCCCAAACATTCAGTTTTTATATGCATATATTGGATTCATTCTATCTATTATAGTATTCGAGAAAATCAGTGAAATGTGAAAACACTGCTTTTTCGAACGTTATAATTTCAATTTTTCAACTTTGAACGCATATTACAGCAATATGGATAAGAGCACAGGAATGTATCTATACTTGCTGAATTCCCCAA